TGATTTTTAGTGAATTTACTGGGTTGTGCAACCATAACCTCAATCAAATTTTAGAACATTTCCATTACCCTCAAAAAAATCCCTCCTGCCCATTTTCACTCCTGGCTCTGAATTCTCAGCCCTAAACAAACAACAGTACACTTTTTTTCTCTCATAGGTTTGCCTTTTCAGAAAATGTGATATAAATGGAATCCTACCGTACATGGTCTTCTGTGTCTGACTTCTTAGGTTCCCTTCGAAGTCAATCAGTCCGTCGGACCAAAGCTGGGCTCAGATCACTCCCGGTGATGCAGGATAGTAAGAAGCTAGGAAAATTCCTTGGCCAAGTAGAATGGGGAAACTGAGACAGCTGAACAAACTGGCCAAGCAATTTACAGGCAGATACAAAAGGTCACCTCCCTAGAGATAACATCTAGGCCTCAGTTGTATTTTAGCTCCAGGCCCAGAAAAACTGCAAAACCAGGTGGGCGAGGCCAGGACCAGCTGTAATGACTAATGACCCCCCTGGCTCTGACCAATCAGTGGAGACCATGACCCTGAAAGGGCACACCTGGAAAAGCTATACTATTCTATTGAGATCTTCCCTAAGACCTCACCTAAAAACTCAGCTTTTTAAAAACCCTCAAAACAAAGGATTCAGCCTGCATTCTTCCTCCCATTTTCCCTTCCCTGGAGCATGCCTGCACCATTCCCTTCCTCCTCTATTTCCCCCCCAGGCATGCATCTCCTAAACTCTAAGGGACCCAAGGAGGCTTGCAACCAGAGCAGCGGTGGGCAGAGGCGGTTCCTCCTGGGCAAACCCCCTGAACCTGTCTCCAAGGGCCCCTTTTTCTGACGTCTTAGGTAAAGCAGACCAACCTAGGTTCATTTTCCCAGCCCTTTCTTGTTTTACTCTCCCCAGGTTTAATAAACGTCCTCTAAAAATCACCTAGACTTGTGTTGTGAAATTTTTCCTATGCAAAGTAAAGAACCCACACACTACTGGTTAGCCATGGGCAGACCCCCTTAGGGCCCCGTCCCCTTTCTGGTCACACTTGTTGGTCCAATGAATGAGACCTCCTCATGTGCTAATAACACAGGATGAACTAATAACAGAAGGAACTTCAGTAATTGTGGAGATGTCCAGTGGAGAGTCCTAAGTAGCATCTTTGGTGTGAGCAGGCTGCAACTCAGTGCTGGCAGTGTGTTTTTTTCTACCCAATTGTGGGTCATGAAGCATGTCTGGATCCTGAGCTCCAATATCTCTGCTGCGGAACTAGACTGCATGGGCTGGTCTTATGAGCCAGAGACCATCTGATGATAGTTTTGAGGGAGGGTCTCTGAGCAAGGTGGGATATAGGTGGCTAGGAGGGCCTCTACTCAGTTACTGTTATATTTGTGAAACTAATCTGTAGGCTGGGACTTCTGTCCTTGTGGTCCAGCCTCTGAAGCCTATGCCCTTACCCTTCACCGGAACAGGCACTTCAAGAAGAGGAAGGACAAATGGCTAGAAACTAGTCTCAGCCTCATCAGCAATCCTATGAACAAATTATAACTACCCCCCAAAAAAGGTCATTTTACATGCACCAGACTGGTAAAAATTAGGATGTTGAACAATTTCAAATGCTGACAAGGATATAGTGTAACAAAACAGTCAGTGATAATGGAGTATAAATTAAATATCCACTTTGGAAAATGATTTGTAATTATCTTGGTAATATAAACATGTTTCTACACTATGACCCAGAAATTCTATTCCTAGAGGAACACTTGTATACATGTACCAGGAGATATGTACAAGAATGTTCACAGCAACTCTGTTCATACTAGGAAACACTGACAACAGCCCAAAGGTCATCAGAGTAGAATGGATTAAAGAAACTGTAGTAGAATACGTAATGGAATACAATAAAGCATTGCAGCAATGCTTTGTAGCTACTTGCAACAATATGTGTGAACCTCAAAAACACAGTCTCCCTAACCAATTTGGCTCAGTGGTTAGAGCGTCAGCCTGTGGAGTGAAGGGTCCTGGGTTCGATTATGACCAAGGGCATGTACCTCAATTGCAGGCTTGATCTCCAACCCTGGTCAGGGTGCGTGCAGTAGGCAACCAATCGATGTGTCTCTTTCACATCGATGTTTCTTTCTCTCTCTGTTTTTCTCTCTCCCTTCCACTCTCTCTGAAAAGCAATGGAAAAAATATCCTCAGGTGAGGATTTAAAAAAAAAACCCAAAACCAAACAAAAAAAAACCATTTTGTCTCAAGAAAGTATATTGTATGAATCAATTTATATAAAGTTAAACATACAAAACTAAGCAATATATTGTTTACAGATTTAAACATGTAGGAAATCTTAAGAAAGGCAAGGGAATTGTACATACAAAATTCAGCATAGTGTTTGCCTTGGAGGTGAGAAGAAAGGGATTGGGTTTATGGAGGAGCACTCCAGGGGTAATGGTAATGAGATTTTTCTTTACCTGAGTGGTGGGTGCATATGTGCTCATGGATTATGATTCTTTATACCTTCTATATATTTTATAATTTTAAAAATCAACTCAGCATTTATAATATTTTTAAGCAATTGAAAAATAAAGACTGGGAAGAGAGGCCAGAAACTCAAAGCCAGGAGACTGAACCAAGCCTGAAAACAGAAGAAGGTAGCCAAGGTGCTAGGGACATGGTGGGGATTGAGTCTTCAGAGGTCAGGCTTGCCTTGAGAATTCTGTGCCCTGAACATCTGGGAAAACTAGAGAAGGAGACTTTATGAATAGTGGCTGCTCTGTCTTCAAAGTCTGGAGGAGGTGTTCTGTGGAAGGAAGGAGCTCATTCTCTGAAGTGACCATGGCTTAGGTTTGTAAGGAGAATACTTCAGAATAACGTAGGAGAGTGCTTTGTAAACTTCTAGCAGCAGAATCCTTTAAAGAAATCGTAAGTGGTCCTGGCCCGTGTGGCTCAGTTGATTATCGTGTGGTGCACCAAAAGGTGGCTGGTTTCATTTCTGGTCAGGGCACATACCCAGGTTTTGGGTTTGGTCCCAGGGTGCGTGTGGGAGGCAACTGTCCATGTTTCTCTCTCACATAGATGTTTCTCTCTCTCCCTCTCTCTCTAAAATCAATAAAAACATAAAAAAAAAGAAAAGAAAAAGAAATCATAAGTGGAATCACCACGTGTAGAACAGATAGAAGAGAGTACTGCACTGGATTCACAGGGGCCCATTATCTAAGCTACTTTAGCTGTGCTTTTCTCACAGAGGCATGGCTGGCAGCCTGAGTGATTCTGATGACAGAATTAACTGGAGACTGGGGAGTCCTGACAGAACTAAGCTGACAAAGCAGGTGCATTGCTCCATAGCTTGTGGACCTGAGGGCCTGGTTGGACCTCTAACACCTCTCCCTTCTCTAACTCCTTGCCCTCCATCTCCTTATTGTCATTAATCCTTTCAGTGCGTTTAGGGAGAATTTGAAAACTACTGATGTGGGCTCTTATTCCTCAGTGTGTTTTGATCCATCCTTTGGGGACTTGCTTTATGTTCCAGATATGAAGCACAAACAGCAAACCTAAATTAAGTGCCCTCCTCTAAATTATGATCACCTAAATGCTTGACCCTTTAGGGTTGACTAAATATGTGCGATCACTTAGGAAAGTGACTGTGGCCCAGCACAGCAGAAGCCAGACTATGGCAGTGGGACTAAAATGGAGAGGGACCCTTCAGAGGGGATAATGGCCATAGAAAGCAGAAGAGGAGGACCTGAGTCACAACAAACAGGGGGCTGGTCATGATGTCCTTTGACTGAGTGGCCTAGGAAAAACAAAGTAAAAAATGTAAGGATTGATCCTCATGAAGGGAGAGAGACTATGTGTCTCCAGAGAGACAGTGATTTCTGCTTGGTGCTCCAGGCTCAAGATATTTGGTCTTTTGCTTGAGAACTTTACTTATTCTCCAGGAGTTACTCAGTCTCTGAATAAATAGCTCTAATCTTTGAACCTCAAATGACACTGAAATTGCAACAATTGAATTCACTCTGCCTATGACGTCAGACCCAGGAGAGCACATTGGACCCTGCTGACATCTTTCCAAGTTGCTGATAGTTTTTGTTCCTAGGAGCCTGTGTACCTTTGTCTGTTCAGCACTCCCTTTCACCACATACCTCAGGCAGCTAGGGCCCTAAATTTCCAGTTCCTCTGGAAATCATGCTAAAGAGAAGTGTCCAGATGCCACCTAGTGGAGCCAGCTATTCTCTGCTGAAGCCATCTCTTAAGCCAGTTTGGACTTAATCATCATGAACATCATCATCCTAACACTTCTCCCTTCTCTGACTCCTTGCCCTCCATTTCCTTATTGTCACTAATCC